GAAAGGGTGTCCTGTGTCAGCCTGGGATGTCCTGTGTCTGCCTGGGTTTTTTGATACATCCTGGGATGTCCTTTGTCATCCTGGGGTGTCCTGTGTCTGACTGGCGTGTATTGAGTCACTCTGGTGTGTCCTGAGTCAGCCAGGGGTGTCATTTGTTATCCTCGAGTGTCCAGAGTCAGCGTTAGGTATCCTGGAGTGTCCTGAGTCATCATGGATTGTTCTGTGTCACCCTGGAGTGTCCAAATTCAGCATGGGGTGTCTTGTGTCAACCTGGGGTGTCCTGAGTTGTCTGGGGTGTCCTGTGTCATCCTGGGGTGTCCAGTGTCATCCTCGGTTGTTCTGTGTCATCCTAGATTATCCTGTGTCAGCCTGGGGTTTCCTGTGTCAGCCTCGGGTATCCTGAGTCAGCGGGGATGTCCTGAGCCATGCTGGGATGTCCTTTGTCATCTTGGGATTTCCTGAGACATCCTGGGTTGTTTGAATCAGCCAGGAGTGTCGTATGTCTCCCTGAGATGTCGTTAATCAGCCTGGGGTGTCCCGAGTCATCCTGGCATGTTCTAAGCCATCCTGGGATGTCCTGAGTCATCTGGAGGTGTAGTGAGTCAGCCTGGGGAGTCCTGTGTTAGCCTGGGGTGTCCTGAGTCATCCCTGGGTGTCCTGTGCCAACCTTGGGTGTCCTGATACAGGTAAGGGTGTCCTTTTTCATCCTCGGGTGTCCAGAGTCAACCTGGGGAATCCTGAGACAGCCTGGCATGTCCTGAGTCATCCTGCGGTGTCCTGTGTCACCTTGGAGTGTCGTGGTTCAGCCTGGGATGTCCTGTGTCATGCTGGGGTGTCCTGAGCCCTCCTGGGTTGTTCTGAGTCTTGGAAAGTGTGCCTGTGTCAGCCTGGGATGTCCTGTGTCTGCCTGGGTTGTTTGATACTTCCTGGGATGTCCTTTGTCATCCTGGTCTGTCCTGTGTCTGACTGGGGTTTACTGAATCACTCTGGTGTGTCCTGAGTCAGCCAGGGGTGTCATTTGTTATCCTCGAGGGTCCAGAGTTACCGTTGGGAATCCTGAGAGATCCTGGCGT